CCATATTCTATACACATTAGTGTGTAACCAAATTTCGCGACTCATTAGTGTGTAACCAAATTTCGCGATTGATATTGTATACACATTGGTGTAAAACCAATTTTTGCAATTTCTATGTTATAAAATTTAAACAGTTCTCAGTGTAATGAACTCCATACTTTGTAATGATTATGCCACCATCAATGCTTACAGGTGGCGTTGTTTTGGAATAGTATCTTTTTGGCATCGGAGCACTGGTAAGGCAATCAAATTTGTTGTTGCTAAAACGAAACGAATTTAAACCAGATTATACTATTTAATTTCAATCTGCAAAGAAACTGTAAATGAAAATGATCTCTGTGTAATGAATGAGATAAATATAAAAAATGACATTTTAAAGTATTTCATGAAACCAGTTTTAAATCTAATTTCGTTACGGTTTCCGTGTTTCGAGAAAAAGATTAGTTTTAAAAGATACATCTGATATCGAATCAGTCGTTATCTTCTCCCCAGAAAGCTCTTTCAGAGACAAAATTGCTTGGATGCAACATCTTAGGAATGTTCAGCGACGTCAAATCATCTGGCGCCTTGACCTTAGGGGTTGTACACTGCTTTTTGGATACTTTCGTTTCATAGAAAAAGGCCCACGTTAACCTATTTTTGTTTTACATCATTACACTACAAAGAAACTTGATCATCTTTTACTAGAATGCATGTATACAGTGAGTCAGACTCGTTATGTAATTAGAACGATAAGTATGTGTTCCCACCACCACCATTGTCCATGTTTTGGTGCTTTGGTAAACTGAGGAGGTTGGTAGCAGTCTATATCGACAGTCTATTATTTGCTAAGGTTCCAATACGAGAACCCAACCAGGATAAGCAGTTTATTGCTTCTTTTCACTTGCATGTAGATGCACTATACCCAGTATTATCGACCTGGCAAGGGTAGTTGAAATCCAAATATTTGCACAATGTACCCGAAGCATGGCTGCATTAGTATGTTCTTGACTTTTATACCTCCACACAAAGAAGAGTGCAGATAGTTTCTTAACAACGTTCATTAGATGTTAATGTTTTATTTATTTTCTTTAACTTTATACAAAAAGATGTTTACATGGGAAGTATAACACTACAAGTAAATTACTGTAGAGCCAAACTCTTTGTTTTAATGGCGTTTTTTATCACAAAATTTTGTGTAAGTGGGCGAACATCAACAAAGGCATTTTTTGTTATTTTTAGTTTTGTTCACAGTTTGTTCCATGAGTGTAAGGTTATCTAGTTCTTGATGCAGTTAAATTAGTTAGTTAAATTACATGTTATACATTACTGACGTTACCAAAACCCTCGAATGATCATTCGATTTTTTTTTGCTCGGCACGTCTCATAGATCATGAAGACTGCGCTAACAATCTTTTTGGCTACGACAATATTTACGGTGTTATCATTATTACTCTGGTTAATCACAACGTATCGAAAAAGATGCCAACGTATGGTCACAGTATTTCTATTTACTGGCAACGATAAAAATGGCGTCAACAGAAGTCCGGAAGAGAGTCCGTGTGAAACCTCAGTTTTCTTTGTGTAAAGACAATAATCCTGCTGTAGTCAATAGTCACGCAGAGTATCTACAAGACTGAATTTTGACTCTTTACTTTACGTAACAAGGAAAATTCAAAAACTCTTTGCCAAATCAGCAGACTTAACTGTAACGATAATCAGTTTTACGACATAGCGGTAATCATTTTTACGACATAACTATAACAAATTAATTACGAAAATTATGAGTAAATGCAGAATCTTTCAAATTCCATGTGGCTGTTGCCATGATTAGAATTATTCTCTTCATATTTTTAGAAGAGAATAATTGATCACTAATCCTATTCGCCGACAATGCTTCTGAAATTTTTATTGTTTCCAGCATTTCGAAAAGTCGTTGCAGGTTCGATGAACTCTTTTGCGGTGCGTTATAATATACCAGTGTGATAACAGCATCACTTAAAATAAAAAAAACTGAAACTTATACTTAAGATCACTTTTGCATTCGATGAAACCATTTACTCGCTGTTTATCCTTGTGATTTCTTGGCTCGGACGGTAACTAACTTTTTCTTTCAGTGATATTTTTATGACAATTTCTCAAACATTACAAATTAATCCCAATATTTTCTATTTCTGTGATTGCAGCTTAGATAATTGCTATAAATAATGAAATATAGAATGTTTTCGGCGTCATTAATGTGGCTGTTAAGAATTCTTCTAATTACCAAAACATAATCCAAGGGACTTAAAATAGGAGCTCTATTTTCTGAGGATATTCTCTATTATAAAAGACACCAGTCAGTGTGGAAGCCATAATAACAGTAAAAACAATATGCAATAATAGGATACAGTGTTTGCATCAGGCAGGCACCACGTTATATTTATTTTAAAACCTCCATAATTTTATTTCTATACATCAGTTGTTAATCCATTGCATAACTTAACTAGCAATGGGCAGGTCTGTGTCTATGAACTATGGTAATTAATAAGAAGGTCTAATGATAAGTAATGAAGATTAGTGGTCCAGTCCGATCGTCTTCTATACATAACATCAACAAATGACCGTTCGTCATAAAGCAGTTATCGGTTACATTTTAACTGTAGCAAGCCAGGACAAATGCAGAGCAATAATGCGACGGCATTATTTCTGATGGGTACAGATTTCAAATGAACATAATGAATATAAAATTTTTGCCAACAGTTCTACATGTAGATTTATAGCCAAAGTTAACGTAAACAGAGCAAGCAACGGCCACCGTTCATTGTCATTCAGCACAATATGTTTGGATATAAAAAAAAACAATCAGTGGGACCTTACAGTTAGACGTTATAGAATCTCAAATCAAGACAAAACATTTAGTTGCTCAATTAAAATAAATATCTCTCAACTTATGTCTCACAAAAACACGTGATAAACCGGTCTTACATTTTCGTAACGAAAAAATCCGGTCTTAAATTCTAGAGACATGATAGGTATTACGACTTGTCTGCTTTATTTAGACAATAAATAAACCTGTCTTGTTGATCACACTAACTCATAATTTAAAGGTCCAGTCCATGGTAGATGAGAGAGATTGCTTTCCGTCATACACTGTAAGCCTATACACTGATATCTTTTCAATACAATACAACTGACCTAAAAATATGTAAAGCAGATGGATTTAATTGCTGTCATTTTCTTCCCTAACTCTAAAATCGAAGAGAATTAATAAAAACAGTACTTTCTACAAACACTCATTAATAAAATTAAAAACAAAATTGTTAAATTTTCATATCTTAGCTAAAGCTCAATACCCCTCACCCCCAAGTATTGTAACAACTAAAACGAGAAATCAAACTTTATAATTAGACGATGTTCAAAATGTCTTTAAAAAGAAATTGACCATTCAAGCATCAATCTGAATAAATGTTTAAAATCAAAGAAAATGAATGCCTAATCATAGAAACAACATAAAAAAGCCCAAACAAATGAAAATCACGAAGATATCACGACATTGTAAAAAAGAAAGTTATTCTTAAACTAAAACCAACCTACACAGCGGTAATCGCTTGTATACGAACCTATGTGGGGGTTAGGGATATAAAGACCCGAGCTTCTCTTTCATGTACGTATCATAAAATTGCACATGCGTACACGCATACTTGTAACAAAATTAATTAGGGCGGGAGTCAAGAGCTGGCCAGCATACGAAAGGAATGTTTGCACAGGTACGCGTTTAAAGCAGATAAAAAAAACCCAAAAAACATTCTCTACATTCCTGACGGTCATTTAAACATGTAAGAGTTGATCTATACCATCGCCATATCTACACGTATAATATATCTCATTTTATAATCTTTGCTCTCTTTGTTTACAAAGATAATTTAATAAGTTCGTGTTATAAATTTAGAATCTTTTCCTGGCACGTGGACTTCTCGTCAAATCAAAGTAGCATAAAAAGGTAAACTCTTAAATCCTTCATACGACTCGGATCATAAGTACAAACTCTTTCATGATCAATTCGCATTTTAATAATTATAATAATTTCAAAAATTCTATTTCAAAACTTCTTGCAAGTGTTTATTATTATTTTAATATTCATCGATTTTATCCATGCTGAACAAACAGCTTATGGTTATCATGCTCTTATAATAGTAAAATGCGCATGCGCCTCTTGTATGTGAATTAGTATGTTATAGCGGAGTTGGTGTATGGGCAACTACTACGCAGTGCCGTTTTAACGCATATGCACGCGAGACACGTGTCTAGGGCCCCGCGCAGCAGAGGAAGGGGTGGGGGTGGGGGGCTTGCAGCGGCCCAAAGAAAACCAAAATTTCTGAGTCAGTTGTATTATCAGATTGATTCTATATTAATAAATTGAACAAAATGACACACACACACACGCACACACACGCACATGGAAATGAAATGCAATACTCTGTATCTGAGACTGAGAGATTGAGGCGCAATTCTGATTTCTTTTAAGGTTAGAGTTTGTTCATAGGGCCCCAAAAGTTCTTAAAACGGCTTTGCTAATACGATGAAAAACTTAATAATGACGCGGTGTATTTATTTGTAATTTGAAATCAGCTGAATCCGAAACATGATTCGTTTCTTTTCATCATCATCAGAGTCACCAACAATCCCGAAACAGTCCAATATAATGAAACAATTTTCTGGTCATAGCACCAGAACACACTACAGGGTAACTTTTGGTGGCAGGCTATCAGTTAATGATATTGGATTTTATTTCATATTTTGGCTGTATAATCTACCAAGTCCCCCAAATATTCTTGCTTATGAAAATGGTAACACCGGGCAAACTTGAAACCACGATTTAAAATACTCTGAAATAATGTACCAGGAACTAATATCAAAATAGCTGAAAAATAATTTAGCAAATTAGTTGCATTAGAGGCTTCAAATTCTGAAGAAAGTATAATTTACGCCAGACACGTCTGGTGCTGTAGAATTATCATAAGAACTTACGGTAACCGGGCTACCTCTGGTGGCCTTATGGTTAGAACGTCCGCCTTGGATGCGGGAGGTCGCGGGTTCGAACGCCGGCCGAGTATAACAAAGACTTATCAAAATGGCACTAGCGGCCGCATGGCTTGACGCTCAGCGTTAAGAGGCTAGTGCTAGGACTGGTCGACCTGGTATCAGAATAATGTGGCTGGGCGGGATATGATGCTACATGTCTACGACGTGATTCTCGTGGTGCAAGACATCACTTAAACCGCCACAGTGCAGACACCATTTTTAAACCATTTATAAAGCTACGTTAAAAATCCAAATCTCACACACACGCAAACACACAAGTGCCCGCGAAACCGGAGAAACCATGGAAAACAATTGAATACAGATGGCTTTCCCATAACGATATCGCATCCACGTGCCACTGGATACGAGAGGTGAAAAGTGAGTGTACTGCTTTCACAATGTACAGTTGGATCGAACGTTGCGGTCCTACTTTAATTAGAGTCAAATTTGACCCAGTGAGTTTAAGTTCAGGAAATGAATCCAATGGAACATCAAAAGACGGCGAATTAAGTGAATTAGCAACAAGGGCATTATCAAATGTTGAGGAGGTTGACGACTTGTTTGTTTTGTTTGTTGTTTGGTTGGTTTTTTAAGGTCTTACCATTTGATAATTGAGAAAAATAAAAGGACTTACATCAAAGGATGCGAGAAAAAAAAAAGAAAAGAAACGCGAGCGCGATAATTTTAAGAGGTCAGCAAATTAATCCATGGCTCGGGTCATAACAAGATGCCGCATAAACCAAATAATCAACTTTCTTTGCTCATACATACATTTATACATTCCTACTAGTTTAACAGTGTAAGACCTCGATCCTGATATTTGTGTTTTAGGTGTCGAGGTCTTACTGGCCTAACAACGGCGCTGTGTAGCGTCCATTAACATCGGAACGATAAGTCTAATTTTCAGGAATTTAGCACATACTTGGCAATCCATATCGATGCTTTTCTTTTTCTACAAATCGAATTAATGTTATAATGTTTTAGTCACATTCTACTTACTCTGATGTCTTTTTCCTAATAAGTTCAAATTCACATACAAGTAAATGGACATGTTTTTAAGTTCGTTGGCCTACAATTGCTTTAGCTGGAATGCATTGGAAGCAGGGGATACCGAATCGGTTAAACAGATGATAAGTCTCTTGAACGAAACGAAGATATCTAAACACTTTTTTCAATATTAATATTTTTATTCGTTTCGTTTAAAAACTATACTTCAACTTAACCCGATTTCGGAATTCCCGGCTTTCATCGCTATTCAGCAAACTGAAATGTTCATGAAAATTTGACTTTCGTTAAGATGTTAGTCGACATCAAAACAGGCTACACACAACGCCATTATTTATGAAGTAAGACCTCAAAGCCCAAAACATAAATATCAGGGTAGAGGTTTTAAACTGTAGGACATACATAAGTACGTACGTGCGTGCGTGCGTGCGTGCATGCATACATACATACATACATACATACATACATACATACATACATACATACATACATACACTTTCTCTGAGTAATTGTCTTGAAAATTTAGCGTTCAAAAGTAACTTTAGAACCACTTTTATAAAACAAATTGTAAAACTACATTGCTGCACAATTAGCGAAAAATAAAATATCAACAGTTCAGATTCAATAATAAACAAAATATAATAGAACAGGTATGTACGGTAAAGTGTTTAAACAAAGCATACATTGCAAGCTACACCATGGCTCCATTTGTATACACTGCCAAAATGTAGTCTGCATGACCGGTGTCACAGCACATGCTGTGCACACGTCGCTAACAGCCGACATGGAGAAAGGGGCTGCAATGAAAAATGAGCAACTATGGGGTAAACAATTGGTGATGATGGAATTTACCCTCCTGCAACGTTCGGTTCAGAGACATTTGTCAAGTTGAAGAGTTGTGTTAGTGGTGGTTTAGTAAAACAAAATCTCTGACACGAATGAGGTTAATTTGTGTTCCGCGATGTCCTTTGCTCGCCACAAGTATGTTCGGAGTACGTTCTTTAAACATTCCCCAAGGAGTTCCAACTACTAGGGACGAGAGCAAACAAATAATTCGACAAACTGAGCTTACACAATATTCGGCCAAACATGATAACGCAATTTGCCCGAAATGAATGAAACGTTTATGGTTATCTTACTTTTGAACTTCAATTTAAAGATTAGGTAATATTCAAAAACAAGTAGACGTGTATGGATTATGAATGATAAATTATAAATAACAGGTCTAGGGGAGCTGTCATCGACATCGAAATTCATTCATCTCTCATGACTGTGCACCTTATAGAATTTGTATGAATTGATTTAGTTGTGCGATTTTGGGGCAGGTAGCTTATACAAGGTTAGTAAAAGCAGACACCAAAGCAAGAGCATGTTTGACAGATCAGTTCCAGTGTAAGGAGACCCAGAAAGCATGTTTGGAACACTTGGGGCTGTCTTGAACAATAACTCATACCTTACTTGAGCTGCAAGTGTAATAATAATAATAATAATAATAATAATAATAATAATAATAATAATAATAATAATAATAATAATAATATCATTATTATTATTATTAACATTATTATTATTATTATTATTTATTAATTAATTAATTAATTGATTGATTAATTTTTTCGGAATTTGATCCTTTATGGAAGAATTAATACCACTGATTTCACAACTAAATATTTGTAAACAGTTTGTTTATGTGGCACTGCCTTTAATAACATCTGCTGGAGAAAATTCCAGAGGAATGCACGCATTTATACAAAGTCTATTATGGTTGTCGTCGTTCAGTTTTCACTGATGGCTGCCGTACTGCATTGAGTTTTAATTCAATATTTTTATATTTCAAATGGGGGAGGGAATGCCAATATGACAAAAATAATATGCGACTTTAAATTTTTTAGTGTCATACGAGCTCCACCTCTACAAGGGTTTATGGAACAGGTCTTACTTACTTTTTCAGAGCACTGACAACCTAAGTGAACCATCTTACTGATTTAAATAATTACTCAAGTTTTACAAATAAATGTCTTAAACTTATGTATGTATTTAAAGGTCAAATTGGAGATGTCAACTTCTTGACCTTCCAGTATCCTTTGTTATCATTAACGTCTACAACATCCTCAACGAATAATTGTGTTTAAAAGTATGAACCTCACAGAAGTTAGCGCCGATATTACTGTCCCTGATTTGTCTGCGGAAGTGACGTTTCACCAGAATGAGGATTTGGCGACAGGTTCTAAAAATGTTTGAACAGAGATCTTTTGGAAATTTGAAGAAAATGACATGTCTAGTGCTATACCGATGTTCGATATTGTGATAGAGAGAAAACAAAACAAGAAAACAAACAAGAAAACAGAAAGAAAACAAACAAGAAAGAAAGAAACAAACAAGAAAACAGAAAGAAAACAAAACAAGATAAAGGCAATTATTGGAAATAATATACACATATAAATATATTCAAACGAAGAACTATAATCTCGGTGTAATTTCTAACTTTCGTCAGGAATAATATATAAAATATTAGTCTCAGCTTTTATATTATATAAGCCATATCAAGCCGTATTGTGAAAATAAATATATGATGTGCTTTTTTGTCTCAATTATCAACAATACATCTTTGAAGAAAAAAAAAACTGCAGCTTCCTGAAAATGCAAATGCAAACATCATCTCCAAACATATGGTCTCGCTATTTTCCGTTTGATATTTGCAGCTCTTATTTATCGATAATAAATCTTGAAAGAAGTTTTAATACAATTCACATTTACGTATCCTTTGAAAGGGATTTTTCAATCATCACCATCGTCGTCGTCGTCATCACCACCATCATCATCATCATTATCTTCTTCTTGATGATGGTTTGCTGAAATGTTATATCTAATCATATTTTGAACGTTGAGAAAGATTTAAATTATTTGATGGCTTGTAAAATGCGTTTAAAAAATCTTAATTGGCAGGAAAACCTATTCAAAATCTTCTTTTGAATACTTACACAACTTGATTAGTAGGTTACTAGCGTCTGTGTCTGTTGTCATTAGAGAAATTAATAGCTTCTTTGATTATAATTTGTGACCGTACTTTGTAAAAAATATCATACGTTTTACTTGAAATTACCGAGTAATCAGTTACACTTTCAAATTAACGGCTGGGATGCTCGTTCTGGAAATACGGTTCGCGTGACGGCAACTCGAAGACCAGGGTGGCAAATTTTAAGAGAATAATTATTTTGTCTATTTAGTCGTCTCAGCGGTAAATTTGGGGAATTTCGAATCGAATAAATTATACTAGAGAAAGAAGCTTTAATTTACCAAAAATAAAAGGTAAGCTGACTTTTTGAAGATTTTCTCCTTAAAAAATTTAGATATTGTTTACAAGTATGATTGCAGCTATGTTTAATTAATTTGTCAGTTTTTCGAACACTAATTTATTATAGATAATTCGTTAAATACATACATAGATACATACATACATACATACATACATACATACATACATACATACATACATACATACATACATACATACATACATACATAAGTACATACATACATACATACATACATACATACATACATACATACATACATACATACATACATAAGTACATACATACATACATACATACATACATACATACATACATACATACATACATACATACATGCATGCATGCATGCATGCATGCATGCATGCATGCATACATACATACATACATACATACATACATACATACATACATACATACATACATACATACATACATACATACATACAAGCATACAAGCATACATACATACATACATACATACATACATACATACATACATACATACATACATACGTCTGCACATGAATCCCTACCTTGCTCTTAAATATATCTGGCTAAACATCTGTACTAATCCAACCAATGTATTACATCTGAATCGTAGGACAGCTTGCCAATTATTGTACAGCACATTGTGTACTAAATTTCACTCTCATAGCGCAAAAATCAAAAATGAAAACAATAAAGGAGGATAAACTATAACCTAAAATTCT